TATATATATGTATATGTTACTTACTGGAACATCGTCATTGTGTTTCCATAATCTATACTTTTTCCTATGAATAGGTGGAAAATTATTATCGTTATTATTGAAAGATGACATATTATACTTAAATGAATATATATCTCATTAAATTAATAAAGCACCATATAATCATATATGTTGAAGATTACATATATTTTTTGATTGGCCTGCTTTTGGGTTATTACAGATTAATTATGTGCGCGCGTCACGACATCTATGAGCTCTTGCACAATTCAAGGACGTAATGCGTGCGCAAGAGGCGATGCGATAGACAATAATATATTAGCTTGTCCGTAAGAACAAAAGACTATAGCTGGCACGTCCTGCACGTCAATTCTTCTCGCAGTTGCCGCTCGTAACGCGTCCTGTGTGCAAGAGTTTTGTGTTATTAGAGGGACTTAGTTCAGTGGTACATACATATAACAACGTAAGCAATAAAACATAAGTAGTAAGCAAATCAACATTTTTTATTTGCTTACTATTTACGTTACTGTCTTATTGCTCGACCGCGGTTTTCTTATTCTCGATTTTTTTATTGCTTTTGTCTTACTGCTTACACGTTTTTCTATGTAACCTTTAACGTTCTGACTAACCTTAGTCTCCATTAATTTACGTGCCGCCGTTCACTTATATCATGCTACAATATCGCGATAGCAAGGTGTTCGCTAATACAAAGTGAAAGTTAAATTTGTGCAATTACTCTTTTTGAAAAATGAAAACTTTTATTATTAAATGTAAAGAAGATAATTCTTACTGTATGGTCGAAGGACACAATGTAATTTGTGATGAACATATGGTTGAAAATGGTCAGACAGTAGATTTCTTTTGGAATAAAAAGAAATTTACAGGGAGCATCGTTATGAGTTCTGGTAAGTATAATTGAATAGTACAGTACATTTATTTATAATAAACTCGTTTTAATAAAAAAATGTTTAAATTTATCACACATTTATTAATTTCAGAAAACGTTGAAGTGTTAAATAATGAGCTGTATATAAACTCAAAAATATGAATAAATCTAAAAAACGTCCATTGTCAACAGTTAATGAACGATTCAGTAGAAGAAAGATAATATAATAAAAAAACAGCTTTCATCATCAACTAAAGTAGCTTGTAGTAAAACAGTAAATACAAGTAAAATAATTCCAAAGGTATGTATTTATAAATTTAAGTAATAAATTCATAATAAACAATTTGAGAACGTTAATGAATGTTAAGTATAGTTAACTATAGATTATGTATAGTTACGTAACGACCGTTTTTAATAAAATTTATACAAGTCTAATAAAGTAATCACAGTAATAATAATAGTAGCAATAATAATAATACAGATAAGTCGTAACATTAATTTGAATCATCAATATGTAGGAAAAAAAATCGATGGATGTGAAAAACCTCAAGCATTATAAAAATTATTCGTCAAGTGATTCTACCTCTTCTGATAAAGCGGACAATAAAGGAAACGTAAATATTAAATTATATATTTGTTCAAAATTGAAACATTAAAATTTCGTTTCTAAACTTCGCCGTTATATTAAAACGATTGCCTCAGAAAATAAAACACGAGCGAGAACAAACAGCGTCGCGGTCACCCGCTCGGTGCGTGATCGCATTCTTCTTAGAATGAAAAACCGTGACAAACACCTGATTCGAGAACGATTCGAGCAGGTCGATAGCAATCGATCATAGTTTCGAATATCATCATTTCTCGTATGATATTCTTTCGTGTCTTATTCTCGCTCGTGTCGCGTACGCAGTAGGCTTACTCGTCTCAAATTCGGTCCGAATTGTCTCGCCATACGATCGCATTCATATTCTCGCAGCGGTCAATTCGGTCATATCTCAAACTGTATTCTTCAATTCAGTTAGTGCTAAGACATTGTGAACGTTAATTCTGTGGAGTCCGAGAGTCGACGCTCGTTAACCGCATCGCGAATGTCCTCTGCCTCGCGCCAAGCAACATCCGGCGTCCGCGTGCAAGATATCCGTTCTCGCGAGAGCCTCTAGCAAGAAGCTCTTAATCAAGATTTCCGAACCGCGAAAAAAAGGGCAGTCATTAACAAGACATTTCGAAGATTTCCGTCGGAATCGCGGAATACGTGCCGTCGCTCGCTCCTATTATTCAAAATAAAGGGAACATTACTAACAATCTGCACTCGATTCTTTTCTCAATCTCCTTATCCTCCAGCGGATCTACGGATTCGCGTAACATACCTCTTCTCCCTCATCTCTGAGCGTCTCTCTCAGTTTCGGGCGATCTCGTCGAGATCGTCTCCCGAACAATATTGATATACAATATTTATAAAGAAATTATACCTAATATTACATAATTTTAGATCCAAAAAAGTTTTGATAATGAAGTAGAAATTAGTAATAGTGAAAGTGTCGAGGAGAATTCGGGACTTCCAACTAATCTCACGACAGAGCAATTGCGAGCTATAGCTAAGAAATATTATAAGCTAGCTAAAAAGTAATAAACAAAAATTGAAAAGTGACAATTTAGATTCTTACATTGAAGAAAAGGACAAGCCAAATAAGATAGATAAGAAGAATGAAAGTACAAGAGAAGAAACAGATAAAAACATAAATATGAAAAAAGAAGTAGATGAAATAGAAAACAAACAATTAGAAGTATCAACAAAAACTAATGAAAATGATATTTTGGGAAAAGATGAAATTAAAGATGCCAATGCCCAACAACTGTTACAATTCTGTGCTGGCGACGATGTAATTATACACATTATTTGTACAATGGCATTATCTTCTTTTAATTTCTTTAATTTCTTTAAGTTAATTTTTGAGTGTAAATTTTTAGATGGTCCATCTCCAGGATGGGATTTTCTGCAAGCAGAAGATTTTAGATTACGCGATAGGAAGCTCTCATAAAGCTTCACATGTAGCTCGAAAATTATTAGAAGGTGTCTTTCATGAATCCGCTCTTCTTCACTGCACATATACTGGTCAAGCACCTCGAGCGATGGGAATAACAAACGAAAAAGGAATGGTTTCATGTTTGCACAATAAAGCTAAAAACACAATTTTAAGTGAGTTATAACTGATTTTTTTCAAGAACTTATAGTATATTGATTTAATTCTCTAACAATAATTTTATTTATTTTGTTTTTATAATTTTTCTACATTCAAAAATAACAAAAAATTTTATCTAATTGTCAATATAACTGAATTACAGCTTTCGCCAAAGACTTAGCTAAGCAGAGAGGTTGGATGGATCAAACAGATGAAAAAATCCGGCAAGCAATGAGCCAACGACTTGGAGAAATTAAAAGAGATCGAAAAAAATTAAAATAAGTTCAGTTATTTTTTTCTTTTATCCAAAAGTTATTTTCTTTTTATATACTATTTTCGTATTTTTCTACAATATGCTGCAATTATCATAATAAGTATTATTTTATTACTCAATATACTTCAAATTTTTTATTTTTAATGATCTACATTTACTATTTAATTAAAAATTTTTCATAAAAATAATAGGGTATCTAATCCTATTTTATATTAATAGCTATTATTACTTCTCAAAAAAAAAATTTTTGTTTTTTTTAAGTCAAAGATTATAAAGAAAAAGTAATTATTTTATTTTCTTAGTTATAGATACTATAGATTCTTTCTATATATTTAGCTTTACAAATGAAAAAAGATTATTATTTATAAATGGAAAGATTATTATTAAATAATAAAAAAAACTACAATAATTATAGATTTACAACAAAAATATTTCATTTTTGTTTTAAAAGCAACATTTTTGTAACACTTACTGTTCAAGATTGAAACGTTTAATTTAATCGATAAATTTAAACTGCAAAATTCAACCGACAAATCTGAACGGTAAGAGCCGCAATGAAAACACGAGCGAGAATAAACATCGTCGCGATCAGCCGATCGGCGCGTGATCGCGTGATCATAATAAAGAAAAAGTGTGACAAACACCTAGATTCTCGAACGTTCGGTGCCGAAAGTATCCTATTATGGAAATCGGTCGGCCGCGACTCTTTTCCGTCGTTATTCAGTCTGTCGCTGACGACGATTCGAGCTGGTCGATAGCCATCGATCATAATTTCTCGTATCATATTATTTCGTGTCGTATTCTTGCTCGTGTCGTGTCGCGGTATTCATAGACCATTCGCGCTGCTGTTGTCACTTTCGCTCACCCTCGTTAAGTTAGCACCCCCACCACAATAAATTAAAATAAAACATATGCCAAAATTAAGTGCTATTTAGGTGCTAATTTGGCGCTGTATTCCTAATTTTAGTGCTCGAACCATTTAGCTGGAATTCGTGTTGTAAAGTGGGGGTGCTAGCTTTCATGAAGCTAGCACCCCCATTATTAAATACTTGCACAAAATCAAAAAGTGAATATATGAGAATTAAGTGCTTTTTAAGTGCTTTTCAGAACAATTAACAAAATATAGTTATCTATTACAATTTAAAAGATATCAGCTAACAAGGACAGAATAGGTATAAGAATAAAGTACTTTAAAAAATCGAGATAAAGGATCGGTCTTTCGCTCGTGTAGTTTACGCTTGTGTCGTTCGCTCGCGCATTTCTTGTCGTTTAATTCGCTCATGTCGTATGCGCTTTCGTCATTCTCGTTGTAAATTCTCAACCAAACATTCTAGCATACGATCGAGCATCGAACTCAAAGCGAAAGACGCCTCATTGTCTGTATTACTACCTGCTCTATACTTATTGAGTTTGTGATTGTTAAGGGGATCCTAAAGCTACGGCCGAACTCCGACGGGTTTGCGCGCTCATCTGAGAGGAACTAAAATTGTCGATAATTGTCGATAATTTTAGTTCTGTCATTACCGACAGCGTTATGCATAAAAATAACCACAAAAGAGTAAATAAAAATTGTGTTCAATATGTTGAAAGACATCATATATTTCTACTGTTCCATCGCTTCGCACGCGTATCAAAGAATATCGGAGCGCATAGAAAACAGTATATCATATGTGTGTCTGCCTT